ATATGTTACATCATTGTGCAGTTGTACCGGTATCGATTATGTTAATGTAGAAGATCAATTTCCGTGATCATATATAAAAAAACCAATATTACTATAAGATACAGATTCATTTTTTATATACCATATAATAATCAATAACATCGAGTATTAATTTATGAAGACGCTAATTGTTCAAACATTTCAGTCGCATAAAATTTCCCTGATTACAAACAACACGAGTTATACGTTGTTATTTGAAATTTTATGCTTATATAATGCTTTAAAAATTGCTATTATGCTCTAAAAACATCAACAAACTCAGTTCAGAGTTCTCTCAGGGAACAACGTAATTTTTGCGTGCACGTCATACAAAGGAGTTATTCCCAGAGGGAATACTCTGTGCCCCACCCTGTAAGTTCTCTAGAGAAGAGGATCGTCACGATTTACCGCTTTCCTTACGCGAGAACCGACCGTCTGTGACCAATTTTAGAAAAAGTGAACGGTCGAGTAGCAGAAGCGTTCTCTCACGGCGAGTCCCGTCCTTCTTTGTCACTTCTGCATATCAAAGAACATCTACATATATGTATGATCTAATATTAATAAATACAGAAAAGATACAAAAGTGACGACCAATATGTTGTATTACTATTTTGTTCTGAGGATTTTTGGTTTTATAGATTGGCTTTTACGAAGTTATCGATTCATTCTCAGAAATGGATACAATCTGACGAAATATGACCACTTACGTAATTACACAGTCGGTCAATATTTCTGCTTGTTTCTGAGTCTATGTAACGAAAAAGGATATAAGTGTATGATTGGAAGAGATTATTTGTTTATTTACTGATAAAAAGCTTGTTCTAATATGTAAAGAGAAAATGAATGTTATACATTTTTAAATGAGAAATTATTTTGGCAAAGAATGAAACATTTTCATTTGGTTGATTCCGCAATTTCCTAGGGTTTGCACATACAGGTAACTTCTGAATAGAAATTCTGCGACGCAATGTCTATTATTAACCAATGGACAAGTTCAACGCCCATATCCAACCGCAGTGGTTTTGCAACTAAGAATAAGTGTCGTGTTTTTTTGCATTGCTCTGCAGAACATCCGTTTTTCACGAGACAATGCAAATTTAAAGATAACAAAATGAAATACATAGCGATAACAACATTTTTAAACACTAACTTCTATGATACTGGATATTTTTTTAATGAAATACGTAGAAGAAAAGAATTTGCAATTTTGTGTTAGCAGAATAGTAATACAAGTATGTACTACTTTGAAGCAACTTTCTCTCGCGTATCTTTCCGCAAGTGCATCGCGAAATTCTGATGACAATCTCTCTGTGACACACTCTGATCGAGAAAATCCATTTATAACTATATAATATTTGCAACGTGTAATAGAAATTGTCCTCCGATCAATCTTTATAGAAAGTAATTCTCAATAAAATTCTTAACAACAACTGCAACCGTGCGCCAAGGACTTTGTGAAATGCATTCTTTATTAATTAATATGCAAACAAGGTTCAATCTCTTAATGTCGTAACAGAAACTCTAAAAAACTGTCCTATTTTAAAACTTAATAATTAATACTAGACTTATATTAATTACAGCCTATAGTGTTACAGCGTGCTATCTGTGACACTTTTTGTTAATGAGGACAAGACTACATTATGCATACATTGTATGTATGTATGCACGTATGTATGTTAGTTCATATGCATGTATAATAAATGCAAAGGTCGTACATCTGAGCAATTTAAAATGTCTCCTATCACAACTAGTTAATACAAGAGATTGTCATTCTTAAAAATAAATTTCGATACGATCTAGTAATCTTTTAAGAAACTTAACAAACATTTGTTAGAATATTCAAAACTAACCGTTAAGATGCTTGGACTTTGTTCCATTGCACGATAAACCCGGTCCATACCTGAATAAAACAGCTTTCTGCATAACGAATATTTCCTTGCTAATCAATCGTTATCGAGTCAATGAACAGAGCGTTACATACCAATTTCCTTGCTGTGCCCGTCGAAATTTGTAAAATCAATAAAATAAATGTCGCATGACAGGAGGCTAGGTACTATATTTTGCACGTAGAAAACATGCGTGAAGGCGTTGTGGCGTTCTGCGGTCTTCTGTTAACCAATCAGAAACATGGGTGAGGTCACTAGCGACCAATGATTGTGCGCCAAAGGAGTAGAGGGTCAGGGGTATAAGATCCGGTGGCAAGCGTCCCTCGCGCATTAATCGTTTGGTTTTCGACCGTGTATTGTGTGTGGTTGATAGCAGAAGCTCCATTACTTGCTCCAACTATCGACTATTCACTTTCTACAAGAGCGTAAAGCAAATCCCTAGACTTCAAAATGGTGAGTAAACATTTTTTGAGAAATTCTGCTCGCGGGAACGATTAATTGTATCAGCGGTGTTATTCGTGAAAAGTGACTTGATGCACCGGCCGGCTCCGCCCTTTTCGTTGCGACTCATTTAATATCTAAATACTGTTAAAATAATTAAAACATTTATATCTCGGATAACAGTTATGCTTACATAAAACATAATTTGTAAAATTGGTTGTAGAATGTATGTAGGACAAAAAAAAAAATGAAAACTAGGCATTTCTTTGTTTCACGTTATCGAGCGGCGGGGGAAATGCGCGTCGCGTCGTTTTGAGCGACGCGATCGATACTTCGTGAATGATGTCTGTAAAATATCTTTTATACAGAAACCGGTTTAAATGTTATTGAAATTAAAAGCAATACGCTCCACGATGTAACAAAAAATATTCGGAATAATCTTCAATAAAAAGATGATAAAAATATATACCAGTATTATTTTATAAATCCAGACTGCACAATTTAAATTTATTTAAATTTTTTCAGCGTGAATGTATCTCAATCCACGTTGGCCAGGCTGGAGTTCAAATTGGAAATGCCTGTTGGGAGTTATACTGTCTGGAACATGGCATTCAGCCTGATGGTCAGATGCCATCAGATAAAACCATTGGAGGAGGTGATGACAGTTTCAATACTTTCTTCAGTGAAACAGGTGCTGGAAAACACGTTCCCAGAGCGGTTTTCATTGACTTAGAGCCAACAGTAGTCGGTATGTAATTATTATTTCCATATTAATAATTTTTGTATATTTTTTAGAATAAATTAGATAAGTTCTTCATTATATCAATTTTTGTTGTAGACGAGGTTCGCACAGGCACCTATCGTCAGCTCTTCCATCCAGAACAACTGATCACAGGCAAAGAAGATGCAGCGAACAATTATGCTCGTGGGCATTACACCATTGGCAAGGAAATTGTTGACCTTGTTCTAGATCGTATTCGTAAACTCGCAGATCAATGTACTGGACTCCAAGGTTTCCTCATCTTCCACTCCTTTGGAGGTGGCACTGGCTCTGGTTTCACATCCTTGTTGATGGAACGCTTGTCCGTGGATTATGGAAAGAAGTCGAAGCTGGAATTTGCTATTTACCCAGCCCCACAAGTTTCCACTGCTGTGGTCGAACCCTATAACTCAATTCTCACCACCCATACCACTTTAGAACATTCCGATTGTGCATTTATGGTCGACAATGAGGCTATTTATGATATCTGTCGCCGTAATTTGGACATCGAAAGACCTACGTACACGAATCTAAACCGATTGATTGGTCAAATCGTTTCTTCGATCACTGCCTCGCTTCGTTTCGATGGCGCTCTTAACGTTGATCTGACGGAATTCCAAACTAATTTAGTACCTTACCCAAGGATTCACTTCCCTCTGGTTACTTACGCCCCGGTCATCTCCGCTGAAAAGGCGTATCACGAACAACTTTCCGTAGCGGAAATTACGAATGCTTGCTTCGAACCGGCTAACCAAATGGTAAAATGCGATCCTCGACACGGAAAGTATATGGCGTGTTGTATGCTGTACAGAGGAGACGTTGTACCCAAGGATGTTAATGCAGCCATCGCAACTATCAAGACTAAGCGCACTATTCAATTTGTCGACTGGTGTCCAACTGGATTCAAAGTTGGCATTAACTATCAACCACCTACTGTCGTACCGGGTGGTGATCTTGCTAAAGTGCAACGAGCTGTCTGCATGTTGTCGAATACTACTGCTATCGCAGAAGCTTGGGCCCGACTTGATCATAAATTCGATTTAATGTACGCCAAGAGAGCATTTGTACATTGGTACGTCGGCGAAGGTATGGAGGAAGGTGAATTCTCCGAAGCACGTGAAGATCTTGCCGCTTTGGAGAAGGACTATGAGGAGGTTGGTATGGATTCCGCGGAGGGTGAGGGAGAGGGAGCCGAAGAATACTAAACTGACTCTCGTTGAGATTTTTGAATAACGTACAATTCGAAATAAACGAATTGATTTGCAGCTGTGATTGTTCATATATTTTACCTGTCCTTTATGTATTTTCCTGACCTGCTCAATAACTTTCGTGAATAATTAAAGTTGAGTAGTTCATTTAAGTTACAAGTTACGTTAAAAAATAAATCAAGCATGTTCTTGCAAGATTTAAAACTAGTAAAACTAATTCGAATATGTAGTAGTAAAGAATATTTGACATTATTATGCATTCAATAAGATATTTTATCGTTTCAATAGCAAAGGATTGTAAAGAAAAAAAGATTACGAAGTTATTTATGTTAAAGATGTGTTGTGATATGAATTTATATATTTATGTCGAAAGATTATATGACTATTGATGTCAGGAAAGGATGATATGTTGAAATATAAGAACACGGAAATTTGTGGTTTCTACGCATTGTCAATACTTGTTAATGAATAAATAGATGCACGAAGATTCTCTTTAACATTTCAATTTAATTTATAAGACAATAATGATATTATTTGCAATAATAGTATGCAATATGGAAACTTTAAAGGTGATAAAGATAAGAAAATTAACGTCATGAAAATATTACTTTTATTTCATATCGTTAACTATTATAGTCTAGTGACTAATAAATTTTACATTAAACCTTTTTTCTACATTTTGTTTATACAAAAGCTGTTTCATCCGGATAGTTTAAACGTGTCATCTATGATAGTTCAATCGTTCTAAAATATATATTAAAAATACCTATACGCAAGTATGACACGTATGCCGCATGGTAGTTTGCCTAATAATTTATCGCGTCTATTTAGACTTTCTTATTGCATATACGAGAATATCTCTCCTAATTCTATCCCATCTTAGTTTCTTACGCATCGGTTCATCTCACTTTATTCCAATAACAAGAATAGATATCTTACTAAGAATCCGCCATGAGTCGAGCTCCTTAGACTTATCGCGAACACGCATGCGCAGTACGACAGTGCACGTTGCTGCATGTCGGTGTGCACAGTGGTGTGTAAGGCGGTATTTTGTTAAAAAAAAATTGGCGGTTTCGTTGGGATAAAAATTGTGCAAATGTTATCGACAAGTAATTAACGTTCGCCCAAATGGATCGCTTGTCTATTCAGCGTTGCGACGAGTAATATGAGTGAGTGAATGCAATATTACTAAAAGTTTTCAGTAACGTTTCCCTTGGGAAAGAATGTAAAAAACCCATGGTTGGGAATATCGATACGATACTACGATCGATGCATCGAAACCGAATTGACGGTGACTACAATAAACGTTGAATAAACTTTATTTGAAATCTATTTGGACCGATGCCTCGGGTCAGGTGTATCGATATATTGTTTGCATACCTACTTGCAAGGCAAGAAGCTGTGCCTTGAATGTATGCAGTGGAGTGCAGCCCCTCCAACTCGAGTTCTCGTTGCAACGTTCTCCGGTTTCCTCAATCACGTTTTTTTTTCTACTGTGCTGAATAATACATTTAAACAGAAACCATTTCAAAGAATGCTAACTTTATTTCATGACTACTTACGATAAGAATGAGTGAGTATTCCGATGGAATACGCGAACGTTTCAACAACTTTGTATATTCTTGTGTGCTTATCTTGTAAAACGTAAGCCGGAGCGTATATGATACGAGACTCTTGTATTTCTGATAAAATGTACACACTTGGACGCTCTACCTGTACAAATTGCTTATGTATGGTGTGTATACATTAACACCTCTAAATGTTGTATCTACACGTGTGTTCGACTAATGTGTTCAATGTTGAAGATAATTCAGGTAGAAAGACTCTACGTTGTGTTGCGTCTAATGCATTCAGTACGATTAATTCATTTCTGTGACGTGAGAATTCAAAGAATGATATGAAACACTCGGTCACGTAGATATTTTTTATATTTCCGCGTATGTGAGATGTAGTATCTTATACGTGGCAGGTAAATTATGTGAAAGACATTTGACAGTTTTGAAATAGAGAAAAGTATCTTTATAAATAATAGTCTAAAGGTTATATTTTTTATTCTTTCGTTGTTTCTTTGTAAATTTAGTTATAACTGGGCATAACTATTTTCATATTTACAAATAAAGGAGAATATATGAAAATATTTGATATATTACATTCATTAAACTTTCCCCAGTATCATAATGATTTAGAATAGTGTCAGTAAAGTAGGCATGTAAGTACAACTGTAGATGTTTATTGACATTTGAAATATATTATTAAGTTTAGTATTCTTGATTTTGTCTTATGTTTATGATGTATATAAAGTATACATTGTAAATATATGCGTTATAACTTGTTTTATGCACCTTAATTCTTATATTTTTAAGGTTAAAGATGCATCAATTTAATAGTAAAGTGTCCATAAATGAAATGTAAATCTAGAATTTTATGTTTGATGGTTATTATTCTTTAATTCTCATAGTTTATGCATAATAAATGTGAATACATGCTCTTTCTGTTTGAAAATTACAGACCACTGCAAAGCCATGAAGATAAGTTTTTCCTTATCTTCGCTACAACCGCTGGGCCATGGCTTAGAAAAACATGGCCAAGCTGGGGTAGCGATAGAAAGGCCATACAACAGTCTCACAAAAAAGAGGTTTGTATAATCTTTCATATTTACTATAGTTAATATTTTATACAGTTTATATTATTTATATTACATTTAATAATTTATTTGTATTACAGGAAAGATCCAAAGCAACTTCACAATCAACGTTTATGGACAAATCGTGAAGATAGCAAAGATGAGTTTTGGGCAGCAATACGTTCTAACTATGACTATATTATGGATACTAATTTGATAGATAGTTGTAGAGTATGTACTTGATTTAGATATTTATAATGTAATTAGACATAAACCATATATGACTTACGCTATATTATGTTTTAATTTGTCATTAATAGGAAGCTAATGGTGAATTAACATGGGACGAGACTGATGTATCTACGCAGTCATGGAGTTTGAAAGAAGTTAGTAGTCAATTTTCAGAGTTATATTCATGGCTAAGGGTTCTTCAAGAATTGGTTTATTGCAAAGAAGAAAATTTATTAGATAAAAGTCTGCGTGCGGTATGTATCATTTCAGCATAGCATGCTGTGCCAAATTTTTATTTTTTAAAAAATTAAATTATTGTAAAATATAAATTTAAGGCTCACATGGAGGAGCTGCGACGTAGGGCATATAGAAGAAAATTATTTAATGATCAGGCTGGAAAACTAGTGTCACGTGCCCCTGCTTTGAAAGATGAAGTGGCGTGGCGTGTTGACCACTTAAATGCAAAATGGGAATTAGTTGAACAAATTATGGCACCTGTTGAGCGGCCTGTATCTAATCAACAGGATATATCGGCAGGTAATTTTCTCGTTGAAATAGGAAGTTCATTAATTATATTTTCATCTGTGAATTCAAAATATTTAAATGAAAATTTACATTATAGATTTCGAGCATGAAGTAAAGTGTTTAAGGAAATGGCTCCGTGAAATGGAATCCCGCCTTCAGCCTTTGAGCTTTCATGTAGATTGGACGTTAGCAGAGCTCGAGGAAAAAGCAGTGGAGCATATGGTGAGTGACATAAAAATAGTAATTTTTTATAGCATATAAAGCAGTTACATTGCAACGAGTAACATATCTTTAATGAAATATATACATATTCGTTGAAAACGTCGATAAAAATTTTGTATACCAAATTAAATAAATATAGAGTTTATTAAACCGTGATGAAACCGTTGAATTAGAGATACTAGTATAACCGGACAAGCGAATACGAGCGACGCGTTTAGATATTATACGAGTCATTAACGCGCTAAATCAATATTACAAATATGTATGCCGTTTCCGTTTGTGAGCCGGATATATCTCTTTATTGTTAACGGAAATAGTCGACAACGCACACTTAAAGAGGCGTATGGGATAAACGTTGGTAATAGTAAATAATTACGCTCGGCATGCTTGAAATATACGTAACAGGCATGAATATATCAAAAGCAACTTAAAAAAGCGATCGAAGCCCATTTTTGAAGCGATCGCAACGAAATTAATCGATGTTTAATACCTGGAATTTTCGTTGTAATTTCTTGTCAGTAATTGTGTAATCTCAGCCAGAAATAATGGAGCAAGTTTTACTTTTGTCATGGCGAGACGATAGTCGACGCACGTTTAGTTTCAGCACGATTCTCTGTCGACTCTGTACTGTATGATCAGGTGGGCGTCGAGAACTCGACTCGTGTTAGTTCCGTATCTTTCTACCGTGTTTTCTATCTTCTTCTTTCGTTCCTTTCCTCCCCCCTTAATTGCATCCCAACACAAAACATGATACGTACTGGACTTCGTGAATGTATGCATAACTACAGTATTATGTACTGTGACGCGATGATGCTGCGAGTGTGTGAGTTTTTGAATTTTTTTACTGGCTACATATTGTGTAGAAAGATAGTCGAATCTGCCTTATTTCATTCTCATCCCGCTGTATTTCACAATCATGATTGCAAACATATTTATGATTTTCTGTTTTCGATTTTTCAGTTTAATCACCTATGTTATTTCCAGAATGAGTTGTAATTATTAGCAATATTTTGAATCAGGCAAGATTAGTATTAAATATTATTCGATGCAAAATAAGATTACTTCATTCTAAACGTAAGTTGTAGAGTAATGCAAGAAATTGTATGCGAAACCTTATTACGATATTGTAATAATAAGATACTGTAAATGTCGAAATTAAAATAAGATATGAATTTTTAACTAACTAATCCTTAATTCAACGTGGAAGTAGCTTTCGTTCTCAGATGCAAGAGAATCTTGATAACACGAACAGTAAAAGTTACTTCTGTTTAATTGCATTTTTTTCTGTTTCAAAACACGTACTTGTATGTATCCTTAAAAATGTTTAAAATTGTTTCGAAAGAATTTAATTTATGAGGATCAAGTATACTTTTTATGTTGCAATTTGTTTTGCGCAAAAAATACAAGAATTTCTTCATCGTTAAAATTATTATCTTTCTAATTGAATTTCTTCAAATTAGAAGATAATTAATTAGATTTGTAGATAATAGCGATTGCATATCATGCTTTTGAAATTTTAACACGATTATCCTGTCTCGTTTTACTCTTTCGATCGATATAATCGAACGAAAGCGTCGATCGAATAACTTTAAATTTAGCTCTGTAAGCTGGCGCGAATAAATTTGTTTATGCCCCGGTTCGTTGCTCCCTATCAAAGCCACATGCCATGTTAATTTTAAGCAAATTCCATCGAATCTTCAATCTCAGCTATGAAATAGAAAATTCGTTGTTTCGAACATCGTGTATCTTACGATCGTTCTATAAATTATTTCCGAGCCACGCGTGTAAAAAATAGTCAAGGTTGAAACGTGCTTCACAAACGTTGACTAGCTTCTGCGTTACGCAATCCTCTGGCCGTAGTGTTACAGTGAAAGCTGCTATTACGTTCGGTACAAAGATCCAGATCAATTTTTAACTCTGTAAACCGTGAAGTCTCAACTTTTATCCATATTCAATATTTTACGCGATAAATGATATGTATGATCCTTATTACGTACAAAATATAAATTAAAACGAAGTACTTTTCAATTAAGCAACTTGTTTCACATCCTTCTGAATTATCTAGGTACCGATCGAAAGTTAAATAGAGCTAAATTGAATTTTATAAAATCAGAGTAAAAAAGAAAAAGGATTCAAGTTTGCCACGTATCTAGTTTGCCTTACAATTGCAAATAAAACGTTACGTTAGCAAATAAAAGCACCGAACATTCGTTCGGAGTGCAAACACCAATCAGTGCTGGAACATTTATCATCGTGAAAGTACTCGCGCCTTCATGGTTAATTAATTTCTAGAAACTTATTGTTCAAGTGCACGCTCGACGAAGGGGCTGACTTTTTTTTTAGAATTATCGCGCGACTCACAATCTTTCATATACGTCATTCATTAAACGCACTGAGGCTATCGTAGTACGGGTGCGATACATGGATATTGAATCTCCAGATAAAGCAATTAATCTATCATACGCATGATTTTCCGATTCGATGGAGAAAATAAAATGAAAGTCGGTATTAAGGCCGTGAGCAGGTACTATTGACGGAACGAAAAGAAGGAAAAAGGGAAAAGAGAAATACGTGCCACAAGTACGATAATGATCTAAGGGGAACGATCTAAGGGGGGATCTGACGTAAGGGGAACGCATAATTTATTTTACGTTGTGTATCGTTCGGATTGTTCGATCGATAAAATTTCAGAATGCTGATGAAGATTGATGGCGGCGGTACTTGTGCCTCTCGATGCAAGTAAACGTTATTCGACCAGTCTTCTTCGTTCGAGTGTCTCCTAGGGGACATATGTTACGAATGCTCATTGATGCTCGTGAATCGTGTAAAATTGAAGATCGATATCGAATTGATATTAGCGACTGAAAGACGAGTAGAAGTCTACATAAAGTGTATTTTAGCATATCTATCACGTTGATGGATGTTGAAGTATTTAACGAATGTATGTATTTCATTTCATCATGGTGGGATCTACAGTCTGTAGAAATCGACAGAAGCGACCGAATTTTTATTAGGTTTAAAAATTAAAGTGGGTTAAGATGGCGGTAGCTTATTTGAATAATTATATCGTAATAATTATATTGTACATTGAAATTTAGTAGATACGTTTAATAATATGTTTCTTTTAATTGTCGAATCGTGTGTTGTAGAAAGTCTGCAAATGTAAATTTTACAGCAAATTGTAATGATTATCCGGTAATTAATCATACGATTTCATTCATTGTCTATATCCGTTCGCACGATTGCTAATATTATTCTGCACCTACATACACCGTTGAATAATGTTCGCATAAATTTTCATAGGCTTATTCAGATTATAATTATTATGTCGCTTTAACTCCACTTCCTTTATAATTAGAATCCAATAGACAAACTTCCGTTTCTTTAACAACTGTATGGTTTATTATCCTAATATACATATTTTGAACGAAACTCTTTTCTTACTAATTGAAGGAATACAAAGTTTGATTTTTCTTTCTTCGTCTGTTTAAAAAACTACGTCTTTATTATTAAAAATCCTCAAAATTGTTAGTTACTAGATTGTAATACTATTTTCTCTTCGCCCGCATGTGGAAGGACAAGAAATGCTTTTACTTTCTTCCGATTCCGCGGAATCGATCGCTGACCTCGCGCGAAATGAAATCTCCTGTGATCTTTTAACCTTTTCGCGCCTGGCATAAATTACAGCGTGTATCGGTTGGAAGAACCAATATTACATTATTATTTACACGCGTCGCTGAAAGGTTTATGCAACGCGCAATGAGGATTCTTGTTTTATTGAACTTCAAGTTACACGTTCGTTTGCCTGTAACTTGCCTAAACGACGTGAAAGTGTCGTTATTATTGTATCCGTTGAAATTACGTATCGTAAATCGTTATTTCTTCATTCTACGATTCCCTCGAAACGATACGCTCGTCAGTTCGTTAAATCAATGGGTACGCCGTGTATTTAATCTTTTACGTTTACGCCGAGTTACCTTTAAGAAATATGTTTCTTCAAGTTTGCGTTTCTCTCAATTTAATTTGCCAGAATATTAATTGGTTATCAGAAGTATTTCACACTGATATATCATCGAAACCCGCGGAATATTGTTCAGCATTTTTTAAATAAACGTGAATTTCAACGAAGGAAAATATAACGTAATATTTGCTTTCGCTGATGTTCTCAGTTTTTACTATATTTTCTCGTTTCTGTATTTCGGTAAAAAATTCCTTTTTAAAATAACACTTGGCCAAAAGGAAACGTAGATTTTATCAGCCGGCGATTAATCGACGGATTTTTATGCACTTGTGCGAAATTTAAACGTGCAAAACTCTGTATTGAGAAACATTTGCAAAGGAATAAATATTTCCCAATTTACAATTTAACATCATTATTTCGATATAAATTCATAAGTTTTTCACGATTCCAGCCATTATAACGTAACGTATATCGATGTAGTATATATAGAAAGAGCATATGAATTGATGGTAATTGTAATCTGATTAAGCGTCGTTCTGTTCGCTTTCGGTTTGACAATAGAGGGACGTTGGACGAAAAATTACCACGTTGCAAGTTGATCGGATTATTTACTTTGCTATGCAACTAGAATGCCTAGATAGCATTGATGCTTCGCTGAGTTTGTACTGCAATCTGAAGGATTGAATTTCCATGCGATATTCGTTCCACGACATAGAATCGCGCGATACTTGTCTTCCAGTTATTTCTTACACCCTGAAATTGATACGAAACTTTGAATGAAATAAAAAGATCTACGAATTGTAACATCGAACTGTGATTCATTGTACCATGTATGCATGGAGAAAAGATCGAATATAAACATTTTGCAACGAGAAACCGAAGCTAGCGTTTTCTTATTTTTCTTCCATTCGATTCGTTATATATCTCATTAACGTTTAAAAATCAGCAATTTTACATACCGAAGAATCGAACATCGATCTCAATGCTTATCGTTCTTGAAGCTTTCAACTATCTCCATATTCTTTCCAATCGATCATTTCCACACGTCGAACACTGCCCCACCCCGCATTTATTCCAAACCACAATAATCAAACGAGAAAGACAACTTATGCATCTATCAACGACTCGTTAGTTTCTACTTTTGAAATCGTTATAGCTTCTCTTTCTCTGTATCGATAAATCAACGAGCAAGTGAACCTCTCGACCACGTGTAATGTGGTGACCGGTGGCACGAGTCACTGGGAATTTTTGTGCATCGTGAAGGATGATCGAGAGACGAGCAACGGTAGTTGCTACGGATCTGGAGCAAGTCACGTCTAATTGTTTACTGGGAAGCGGTGAAGTGTCCGCAGGGTGAAGCATCGAGCATCGATAAGTACCGCTACTTTGGAAGCAGAATTGTTATGTCGCGTCGCGTCGCTCAGAGCTACTGGGTCACTATCACCGAAACGTAGCCAGTTCGCTCGATATCAACCAGTTTCAGCTCGCGCGCGTCATGCACGTATGCGTTTAATTAACCCTTTGCGGTTCAATTTATTCTTCCTGCTCCCTCACTGTTCACCGGCTCTAATCTACATCGACTTTCAAAGTCCCGCCAACCGAATGTTTCTTCCACCTTATCGCGATCGCACCGAATGTTGTTCCAAGCTTGAACTACCGAGGAGGGTTCGTGGATTTTATACAGATTTCAGTGGAATATCACGACGTTTTTAATGACGCGGGAAGTTCAGAAGAACTACTGG